GTACAGCAGCCTGAAAGCGCCCATCTTGAGCTGGTTGAAAGACCGCCGAATAGGCCCCAGAATGCTCCATGCGCTAGCACAGACCCGATCGGTGTTTTCTTGGGTCTTTAGTGATGAGGTAACCATAACACCCAGGTCTCGTTCGCACAATGTTCTGCGCAATGTAGTTCCCTGGAAGTTGTAGACTATCTCTGAGTCAGCACGCCCCAGATGCAGGTGAGCACACTTTGTTGTGTTGACTAGAAGAGCCCAGGTGTCCGCCCACTGAGTCAGGTTGTTCAAATCCGCTTGAAGAGAACTTCGATCATTCGGATCATTGATTGTACGCCAGATTTTAATGTCATCCGCATACATGAGGGATGGGCTGCACAATTGACCAAGCAGGTCGTTCACATAAACGACAAAGATCAATGGACCAAGAACCGAGCCTTGTGGGACCTTACTGGGAGCGGAATATCACGCAGAGAGCGATTTACTGACACGGACGCGAAATTTCCGATCGATGAGAAAGTTTCGCGGCCAATTCCGCATTACCACACCTACACCTAGGTTGGACAGCTTTCTCAGAAGGAGGTCGTGCGGCACCTTGTCGAAGGCCTTGCTGAAGTTTACGAAGATGATGTCCGTTTCATGTCCTTTGGCCTTGTCCTCGATCCAGCATTCAAGTGCAAATAGCAGATTGGTAAAAATGTCGAACATTTCTATCTTGCGTCTATTTCTTCGACAGAATTCGCGGTAATACACAGCTGAATCACCCCTTACTGATTTAAAAGCTTCCAATGCATTAACGCTTTGATTTAAACACTGCCATCACAGTCAAAGTGACACGATAAGGAGAGAGATTTGATTCAGTAAACCAATAAATACTAGCGGCTATAAAGATATATTATCGAGCTTCAGAAACCTTGCAAGCATTATCAAACGTGACGATCTTGAAATTAACGTTGAACCTTCTCAGAAGAGTCATCTTAAGTAGTTTCATCTTTTATTCACGACGGAAAAGTAGTGACATTAGTGGCTTTTTTGTACTGTGGCAAGTGCAAATGAACTGATAGTGTAAACAGAGTCGAAAATTTGAAACCTTTTATCTCCTTCTCGCTGCTAGAAGTCCGGAGATATCTTTGACATGCTTATCATACGTTTTGGACCGTTTTGTTCGAAATTGAGAAACTCGTGCACTCAAAACGAGCACAAACGACACGAGGCAGATCAGTATCGTTATGAGTCCGTGCCTATTTTCGATATCATCGATCTGGAACATGCTTCCCGACACTCGATTGACGTGGGCGATCGGGTGTTGGTGAGAGACGTTTGGCCTGTCCCGATCTGTGCGAAACACACGAATATTTCTTGTCGCACAATGAAACATGCTCGCTATATACCGGCCTCAGTTGTCATGGGACCGAAGCAAGATGGATCAGGTGAGTGAAAAAGCACCGATATGTGATCATGACATGCCCCGTAAAACGGAAGACTTAGACTGACTTTATTACACAGAAAAGCAAATAGTGGAAAACTTGGCAGTGTTATTGCAGCCAATGTGTCACATGACTTCCTATCTATGTACTACCACGTTTCATTCACCATGAGGCTCGTGGATGAGTGCTGTCGACAACGTAACAGCCTTGAAGAATGAGTGCCAAGTTTCCTAATTTTCTAATTCTTGTTAGATCGGTATTTTTAAGTATATACAGTACAATTCTTTGTCAGAGATTACGTACAAATTCGACAACGTAAAATCTATGGAACTGTAGGGTAATCAATGAACACAGTCGCGGATCACCTCTTTTGCGGTGATTCATCTGCAGACTAATTCATCAAAATTTATATCAAAATGTTTAGTGGGGAGGGGTGATAAATCATGAAAAACTGGGAAGAGAAATAATCAAAATTCCAGTTTCATTATCAGATATTACCTTATTCGGACATGGAACCGATCTTGAATACGCTAGTTGTATGTTTGGTTGTCAGTTTCTGCCCAGTCGGGTCGCGATCAAGGCAGTTATTGTTTTTTGGATAGCATACTCTTAACTATGTCACTTCAAGTTCCTTCATCTTCCATGGCCGGTGTTTTGGTGTACGATCTGCGCAAATTGCCGGGCATATGTTAGCAAATGAGTAGATCACCATGGATGATTTCACCACCCGGCGAAGGTTACACGTAGCAAAGCAGCTGAATGCGTTCGAGTGATTGCCTTCGTCAGTCATCTTCTCATCCTACTTTCCTGAAAATACGAGAACCCGCAATTCTTTCTCTTTAACGGTGGTTGCTTTCGCCTTGACCCTGCTTCTTCCGTCACGATAGAGAAGCATGGCGGAACGTGCTCAGTATGTAGGGTCACAGGAAATTCCTAAAATATAAGTCTTACCGCTATCCTCCTTTCTCCACCTGTATTCCTAAAACCCTGACTTTAATAAAGCCCTCACGTGCTTGCCTAAGGACCATAGGAGCACATTAATCCTGGGGTATATACCCAGTGACCGCGTAATACAAGAAATCTTTTTGAAAAAGCCTCATATTTATTTGGAGGAAAATCTAGACTCGTGCACTTGAATGTTTCAATTTACATTTGCTTGTTAATGAATTTTTTTCCTGGCGAGAAAGGAAGCAGAAAACCCCATTGGAACGCACGGATAAAGCAATCTGTTTTTACTTGTTCTGCCAGGAGGCGAACGCTAAGTTTTCGGGTCGGAAATGGAAACTGAGTTGCGGAGTTAACGCCAAACACCTCTAGGGTACCATTAGATTAATTTCATTTAATTTTTTTAATCCCATGAAAATTCCCAGACAACAGATTTTGTGTCGTCATTTATTTCGCGTTAAGTTAATGTTTTCTCGAGGCTATTCTCACTGGAGGTGATTGTTTTGCATTATTCAGGAGACATTTTTTGAAGCCTCAATTGTCTCTGAACATCATTGCCGACGTGAAAAATGAACGCTTCGTTGATTTTCATCCAATAAACACACATTATTGGAAATAGACAACATATCATTTCTTAGAAAAATCTGTTGAAGACTGTTGCAGCGAAACTGAAGGAAAACATTCATTTTCCTGGCGTGGAAAATCGTCAACAGAGTGTATTTTTATACGCTTGCCTTATTCTTACATAAATGAGAACTAACCAATAACTGACAGTGTGTACAGATCATATTCCGTTTTAAAATTTCGGAATATGAATGTGTTTGTTTTCCGAGGCACAAATCGTAATATTTCTCATTACTCCCGTGGTCTAATCTTTTCGGGAGAAAAATACGTCACATGTAAACGATTCTGAACTTACATGATGTATATCCCTCATTTTATCAGCCACTTTTTATATTTCATTTTAACAAAATTAACAGATTTGGATTTCGTTAGAGATTTTTGTCTCAAAAGGCATCTGTCAGAGAAAATGTTTTGAATTTCCTACGCAATTTCTATTCATTTTCAAACTTTAAAGTCACAATCCTGTGAATTTACGATACTGTTTTTTTCATTTTTTCTTTGTGACGGTAAATGATGATAAATGATCCTGAAGTTCATGAAGCTGAGATTCCATCCATTAGGTTGAATAAAGTGATTTTCCACTTTGACTTGACTATATTTTACAGTTCAAAACTGTTCGTTTCATTGATCATGACTTTCTCAAATAATCAAACTAGCATACTGATATTAAATCATCAATAATTTGGGGTACGAAGTGATTAGTGCTATATTCTTTCCTCCAAACCGTACTGATAGAAACCGACCATCATTTATTTTTCATTGCCAATATAGACGCAAACAATGACATTGCAAAATGTGCTAATAGTTCCGAAACTAGTTTTTGGGTCAAAATAGCAGCACCTGGTTCACGTGCGGGATGTCATAAGGTCACCAAGGACAATGTGGTCTGGATACCGACCGCGGTGTTTGAACGCATCACTCTTGAACAATTACTACCTCCGGAGGCGAGGGAATGGGTTCATCGGAAAACATTTCTCCCGGGTGCATATCCGAATCTTTCGGCTCCAGGTTATCCAGACGAGCACGGTTTGCGCGCTCCATATTGGCGCAATTTGCAGGCCTATCATCCCACTACTTATTTGCAATTCAAAGTCGGCTCAGAAACTCAAGTGAGTAAAACGAAGTACTGTTTGGATACGGTTCAATTAAAGATCTGAATAGGTTTTCAAATATTCATTAACTGAGCAGTTTTGGAATTGGTATTAGTCCATGTGGTTCGTTTTCCACAGTAAATTACTGAATAAATAGACAGACAAGCTCAGTTGATAACGTAAATCATGAGGTCATATCAAACCATTTTTTCTATGAAAAATTGCCTTATTATTAAGTTTTATTCCCGTGAGCACTAATTTTTATTCAACGTGTTGAAGAGAGGTTAGACTCATTGTGCTCTTGACTGAACAGCCAAACGCATAAAGAAAAAGATGGATAAATAGACAAAGAATTAAATGTAAAATAGATAGATTGATTGGTTTGATTTTTTCAAATAGCTTTGTGAACAAAAGAGAAGACCTGCATGCACGTGTCGTTTCGGAATTCACTCACACATTCTATAATTTTGATCACCATTAACATTTTAAGTGTATTTTCTAAGAATTACTCTCGTTTAACGTGCATCGAATTATAAAATGCACGAATACTCTATTTCTCTACAGCTAATATCTTTTAAAACTAGCAGTTTGTTTTGTATAAGCTACCCAATGGTCTGTTTCAAAATTGGCATGACTACCAATCACTGAAAACGAGCTTGTTCACCATTATTCTATTTGAAGTGTGCTCTGTGGGACCTTTTAGGCAATGAACTTAATTCTTTTGGTTCACAAAATCAAATCGATCATCTTAAACTTGTCCTTCATTCACTGACCTCAATGTCATGAAATATATATCGACTTGTTTAATAGCTTGATTGCAACTCCGTGTCGAGGATCCAATCAATTATCCCCGTGACGGAAGCACTTTTCTCAGGCGCACATTGCACTTCTGTTTGGAAAGATGAGGTCATTCGTCGGCCCAGGTCAGACGATAAAATCAATTTGGCTTTCCATCAATCGATTCAACCAGGCTCCTGTTGTTGTTGCAACAACGATTCTGGAACCAAGGAGATGAACTGATACAACGGAGAAATTGTATCGTGTTCTTCTTCAGTAAGCACATAACGTGCCTTTATTGTTTTCAGCTTTGTAGACGGCCAATCATTGTATTGGTATAATTTTTTGTGACGTAAGGTATGGTATTTTAAGCAATAAAAATATAACAATCACTTCTTATGTGTGATGCTAGATCGGCCTCAATGTGTTCGACGACGTGGTTTTACGATGCACCAAAGGAAGTACCGTTTCCATTTGTTTCTTCAGCAAGTTGCAAGCTATTTCAATGGAGCATGTAACAGAGTAGTATTGTAGCACATTAATGAGACAACCCTAATTGGAAAAAATATATGCTCTGACTGAAATCTACTTAGTTTTGTGGATGGCATTAGGCAGCAGAACTTCGTCTTTATCTCCAGACTTTGGTGCATAGGTGATCGAATAAAGCGAACTGAGTGAATGACTTTATAGACTGCACTTCTCTCGGGTTAAGCTGTGTCAGTGAATCTTTTCATTTTCACCTCGATTTCGGAACAAGGTTGTTTTCCGTATTTTTCTCGTCAAGCCTAAGAACTAAACATCGGAAATTTTAGTGGGTTGCGGAATCGAGTTGATCATACTCGCATTCGTTAAATCTTTGAGGAGGAGGTGAATGGCGAGAAAGCAATAACCGAGCCGTATAAACATTCTGGAAATGTATTGTCTCGTTATTTCTATATTCTAGGGTCGCACAACTTCCACAAGTATTGGTTGCATTTTTTATATCGGCCGTTACTCTTTCTCTTCCTAGGTATTGATCGTAGTTTCTAAACCAAACAATTGAAACTGTAAACATTGTAATATTGATCATGAGGCTCAACCGAATTGTTAATTATTGTGAATAAATGAAACTTCCATAGGTTACAGAATCATCAACAATTGCTAATTTTTTGACCTGATGTAATAAGAACAATAATAGGTTCAATGATTTTGACTGATTTCCCCAATCGGTGGTCTCGGTAAACACCAATCCCCAGAAGAAGAAAAATCGTACGATGTGCGAGACTATTAACGAAATACAAATGAGGATTAAAAGTGCACGGCAAAAATGGACTTTCTCCGTCTGCTTCATCTGAGTGCAGAATATCAGAAAATAGTAGTGCTCACTGATTATAATGTTTCTAGTGTGGTAGTTTTCTTAACTCGTTAGGTTCTAAGCATTCATTGGTTTGGAATGCTCATTTTTCTAACTTGCCTCGAACATGACGTTTCGTAACATTTGTGATTTGTTCCAGAGAATGAAAATCGTGAGTCTATCGTGAACCGGCGGGCTATTTTACTTACTTCTGTCAATTACCTCACCAAAAAGTATTGAACAAATAAATATCTTTACAATTCTTTCTTGGACGTTTTGATTTATTCACTGGAGAAAAACAACGGAAGTCATACTGTATTATACATCAATTCTGCATAGCGCGTTCTTGAAGCAGAACAATCTGACATCAGTGTTAATTGAGTAGGATAAAATTACAGTTAGTCGACAAAATGCCAACAATTGCTCACTGGCGTTCATCTTTGAATTCCTCAAACGCCCATTCCTGTCGATCACCGTCCACTATGGTCTCCCATCGACCATCTGGATGTTTAAAGCGCAACTCTTTCTGGATCTCGTCGACTCCCGATTGGTAATGGGAAATGTGGATATCATTGTGAAATTGCTCCCATCCACCGTCATCATTCACAATTCCCGTTTTTTTGACTCTGGTCTTCTTTAGCGATTTACACTGGACCACTGAAATCTGGCTCTCCTCAGACACACTGGGTCTACTGCGTTTATCGTCCATTGATCATATCCATCAAGCGAGAAATGCCAACGGAGATATGCTTTTATACGAGATATTCTCTTCTTAGATACGCACGTATTTATGTTTCTCTTTAGTGTTCTTTTATTGATGAGGTCGCCCAACAAGTCACGTGTTACGGGGGCAAATTGTACTCTTACAAATACTCCTTTAGTTAATGCCAATCAAAGTCACNNCAAAGTCACGAGATTTACTAATAGAAAGTTATTGATGCGGTTGCATATTGACACCGTCCGATTGTTGATAGTTTCGCAAATGAGTGTCTCAAGCAACAGTATGACAAAGATTGGTGATTTCTATTACTGGTTGATTATCTCCAGTCGGAATTTCCGCATTACCCCTTTTAATCTGTGGTAACTCAACTTTGCTAGTGAACCATTCCATCGGAATCTCTTTGCGGTCATGTCTATGACAGACTCGTTTGACGGTCAAATGAGCGCAAGCGTTTATTGCATTTTTTTGTATTTCATAACATATACAAGTGCAAGTTAAATTTTAGTTAACACGACTTCACACACCAGCTGCTAACCTAAACATCATACGCGATGGAAATCTAGTANTTTGAAGTTGAGACTAATTCTCAAAGTCACCTTCATTGTATTGGTGAGTACACGTGCTGGGTGAGACACAGAGAAACTTCTCTCTAAGTGACAAGCAGTGCGGGAATTGAAATTGTGTGGAAAATCGGTATTCGATGTGTAGAGAGTATTAAGCGTTCGAAAGGATTCTTTTTCTAAATTTGTCACAAGAAACTTTGTAGTGGTCCCCAACCCGTAGTACGTATTTTAATTTTAAAGTTAGGACTAGTTACAAACAACCGCTCCAGTAAGATCCTGATAGGAACTCGTTATCCGGGACGGAAGAATACAAGACATCGCAGAAACTAACAACACCGAGGACAACGGAGCGTAGACTCACACCCGTCTAATTTTTTAAGTCTTCAAGTACGCTGTTTGTCCTTGAGTATCTAACGTCGAGGTGGAACATGCATGTCTTCTACGGTGCGTTAAACACAAAACTGGTGTCCTGCATCAGGCATTTGGCTCTCGGTGAGAGTATTATTCCATCTCGTACTACCGTCGGTTTCCATCAAACGGCGTCAGTTCTCCGCGCACCGTATTGATGTTAGAATGGACGACAGCTCCCGGTTTCCTACATCCATTCTTATCAGGGTTCTAAATGCAAAAATCGGATTTTGCGTGGGGCGTAGATCACTACTCGCTTAACGTATTCTCCCTGAAGCCTGGCTAACAGTAACTCGTGCACCAACTAAAAATAGCACTACCCTTATTACTTAAATTGAATTTTGATAGAGCACCAAGAAGACCAACATATCTAATTTTTACCGACCTAATTGGACCGACAATAGTATGTAGTAACTTACCAAATCACTTAAACTCGAATCCAATATGTTTGGTTCTTGCTGTATTTGGAAGACTTTCCTCATCCAGATTCTAACTGAATACCATTCGTTTGCGATTTCGTTGCTAGAGCAACGAAATCGCAAACGAATGATGCCCAGTCAACTTCGTACGAATCCAAACCAACAATAGGATTGATTTGCTGTGTTCTGCTGAAATGGAATAAAAATATCATGTAAAACAATGAGCAAACCTCATATGTGCGATCAAAACGTTCACGTATCAAGAACCAACTTCAGTTTCGAAATGGAGACAGCATGTCAGCAACGAGGCTTCCGCGCCAAATGGAAAAGCAGTGAGTAACGAAAAAAATCAGACTGGTTTAGGTGTTCGGGTGAGTGTATATAAGCAAAACAACTAATCAATCCAATGGCGAACAATGTTGTGTCAGCACAAAATTAGAGGAATTGGGAAGAATTTTTACTAAACACTGAACACTAGCAGTCAACGTCCTTCTACTGTTGCTTGCACCAAAGAGTTGGCCCGGATCATGGCATCTTATACATCTACCCACTTAAACTATATCGTCAGTGGTCTTAACCACTATTTGTTTGAGTCGGTTGTTGATTGTTATCCTCCGTGACTGGATCCCCTCTGTAGCAAGCTTTTAAATATTTCCCACATGTTTCGCTGTAAATTCTGCCATTGCAGATAATAGGGGGTCTGAGGGCATAGCTGTAATTTACGAGGGCACCTTCAAGAACTATTAACTGGTCCGAGTGACAAGGGAACCCCCCTTAACTGATTTATTTCAAGTTAGGTTGTCATAATTATTTAATAAAATAATTTTTCTTTATAACTTATAATAAAGATTTGAGTAGTTCGAATAGAGGCACCGTCTATAATTTGAAGTGAATTTGAATCAGTTTACAACGTTTCGTACGCTCAACATAGACCAACCAAAGTGGGCACATCGTTCCTATTCAAAATTAAATGGAATGAGTGGGGAATATTTATTAAACACAACAGTACTTCGTATGTGGACACCCGATAACCAGACAGGAATCCGCTCACGCACTTAATGGAGTTGTTTTTCAGCATTACCAGTGGGAGAAAACGGCAGCAATTTAATCAGGAACGGTTTTGAGGAATCGAAAATCTTATTACTATTCTGGTGTTGTTAACTGACTTTTTGTCCTCAAGATGAATGTATTCTTGACTGGAAACATCTACTGCAGGATTGTACGAGTGAAGGTATTTCTGAAGCTGTTCGACGTGACGGCCTGTCGACAAGACTTCGTACGGATCTTGAAATGTGCGCTCGACATCCTACAGTTTTCCCCATGAAGAATAGCCGAAACCAGCAATGCGTTAACCACGACCCGTAGTCCCTTAACCTCAACGCACAAACTTTAGTCAGGCTCACGTTACCATCCGACACCCCATCGGCACAAATTTTCGTAAGTAAAAAACCTGCTACTCATGAGTACTGTACAGCTATTGCCAACTACGCACACAAAGAAAGATTCACAAATAATGAAAAAGAAAACGTTTAAAATAATGAAGTCTAAAATGGGTATAATTGTGCAGTATGTTGTCAATAAGTGTTAATGCCATTAGTAAACTTTTAGATGGAAAAATCAATTCATTTTCGATACTGCACTTCATCCAAATATTCCCATATGATGTCGCCAACTGATCCAGTCACGTTTTTCAAGCGTCGTTTTATACGACTCAAAAAGGATTGCACATTATTGGTGTGCACACCGGTTACAGGGTTCTCAAAACCGTCATTGGGATTTACACGTGTATATATCCCACTGAACACAGGGAGCGATATGCTGCCAACTGATCGGTGTAAACAGTAGATCCCGGCTGCGCATATACACATGTACGTGTTTTTGACAATAAATTTCGGTCTTGCATATATTCTACACATGCCTGTTTTTGAATTTAATACAGCATTCGATACATGTTGGAACCGTCCAACAGGTTTCAAGGTTACAAAATAAAACAAAATAAGCAAAAATGCGCTTTTTATTTTATGATCTAATTGTATAATAAAACTTCCAGAAAAACTATTATGAATATTTACAACTGGCCGCTTTGAGAATTGACTAAGAAAAATCAAACCGCCAGGGAGTGCCGCATGATAACGTTCGCCAAAAATTTGATACCACGAAAAATTGAATGCTTGCTATTCCGTATGTCCGCTTGAAATGAACTGAACGGTTGAATAGATTAATCGGCATTTGGATAATAAACATCTTTCACAAAAGATACGCCTTTTCTATCAAGCTATAGAAAAAACCCGTAATTCTCGAGCGTCGATTGTCCTAAATATCTCCAATTTTTCAGCGTTAAGAAACCGAGGATAGTGATGGGAGTGTATTTCTGTGAACGGTGATTACTATTCTCTGCCTACTGATGTATCTACAGCTCAGGAACAGAGTTCAGTTCAATTCGAGAACGTCGCAGAAACCATTATTACTTTTTGATTTATTTCAGGTCTTGTAGATGCAAAACAATCTATCGCTTGTGATACATTTAGGACAGTTTTACTCGTGGTAGTAAGGCATTTTAGATGTCCTCTGTGGGACCACCATTCGTCATTCGAGCTGTCGGTAACGAGACTATGCAAACGTCAAGATCAGCAGCGGTAATAGTTATTTTACCTAACTCTAGTAGTTGAAGTAGGCATAGATCTCGAATTACAAACCATGAATCATAATTCACGGACACAACTGGAACGCTGAATCGCACTAGCAATTGCACGCTACTATCGTCCGTCACCGAGATGCAAGAAAAAGGTCACAGAAGAAGTTCGTTTATTGAAAGATACCAAGAGNAAGAGGATTAAATAACATGTACAAAGGAAGGTTATTGGTTATCCGGGTATCTATCATTCGCGTGCTGGTATTCTTGACGTCCCACTGCTTCTGTATGGACCGCGTGACTACTGATTGGTGGGTAAAGTTGGCCTGTGGTTCGTCGTCCAGAAGTTGGCACGCATTGGCGCTTAGCCAGCTTTGACTGGGAAGCTTAACCCACCACAAGTGTCCAAAAACTCTAACATGTCTCCCCGTCGTTTTCGTCATCTCGTAGGCTAGGATTACCACAGAGATGTAACACACTATGATGAAAGTCAGGCGGAGGTGATGGTTTTGGTCTACTCGTCTCTCGGTGTGTTCAGTTGGAGACGTTTATTACTGAGTCACTAGCGCCCCGCATAAGAAAGACAACTCCACGTTAAGTAGACTCATCTCATCAAAACCTCCTGTGCACATAATTTTGGGTGATATAATCGAATAAGAAACGCATTTTACCAATGTCCATCTTTATGAAACAACTTATTTTTTTGTGGGAATATATCTCTTCAGTAATACTAGTATAAGAATAACAAGGTGTTTTAAGGTTGGGTGCCTGGTGTGTAGTCAATCACACATCAAAGCGACCAACTCCTGCATAACCCAAACCATCCATTACTGATCGAAGCCCCCGAAGCCATTGAAAGTGTCCTCACTGAAGTCAACTGTGTCACACCGTGTAATACATAATACGTATACTTTGACAGACACTTCAACTCTGTTCTGTTTCATTCGATCCGTTCTTGTACCTGTT